ACCTTGGTAACACAATCCCTATCTTCATAATGTGTGACTACTGGTTCAGTGGGCAACCTGTCATGCTTTGGTATAATCACACAAACTTGTGGAGAATGGACATAATTTTCAACACCTGAATCCTTAACCATTAAGGACAGTATGTGTTATTGTGACAGTAACGGTCGGAACAGGATGTCATCAGCAGACTGTCATCATATGTGTCAGGAAAACAAATATAAGACCAGGAAGAATAAATAATTTGTTCATGTTAACACAGGAAAATGGTCTTCTTTGTCCTTAGCTATTGACATATTTGGGTGCTGGTGGCTTCAACACCAGCTGTCACTTCTGCCAATCTACTCCTGTGATGGTGTGAAGACTATCCACTCCCAGGAAGTCTTGACACAATATTCCAGTCACACTCAGTTTCCATTAATCGTCTAAACATCTGGATCCGGTTGTATCATTGCTTCATTAACTAACGACATAGGCAATTATCGGCATTTCTGACTTTTCAATGAAAGCAATAAAAACAAATAACCATACCCACATAGTCAGAATGTTTCCGATTACTTACATCATACATTTATGGACAAAGGTTCCCTCGCAAAATCGTGGGCACCCATATCCACAAAGCCGCCATTTCATGAGAAATCGGTCATTGGTAGTGATGTCATACGTCAACATTGTTGGACATATTTGGCAATTTCTTTGAGGTGAAGGTCGTTTGAATAAGATAAACCAAATCACACTGTCCTGCGGATTACACTTTTAGTATTAATGTATACCTTGCGTATCGTTCACATAGGGTTTCATGAAACTAATTTCATTATCAACATTTAGTATTTTAAACCTAAGTAAAACTGACATAATAAATAAAAATGATTTATTTATTTCATGAAATATATATATATGCACACCTTTTTAAAGGATTTATATTGGTTTGTTCATTGAATTTGTTGATGTTGTGTTATAGACAAAACAATGGCGTATAATCATTGGCCAGGTGCGCGTTTGTCACAAACGTTTTGAGTATCATTGTTTTCGAAAATTCTGTGAACAAAATATCACGAAAATATGGTGTCCTTATTCACAGCAAATGCTCTCCAAGTGATCTGAGTTACAATGACTTAGTATTAAGCATAGCGGAGTGATGCCCGCTTATCTTTATAAGCGTATGAGTGAGTGAGTTTGGTTTTACGCCGCTTTTAGCAATATACCAGCAACATCACGGCAGGGGACACCAGAAATGGGCTTCACACATTGTACCCATGTGGGGAATCGAACCCGGGTCTTCGGCGTGACGAGCCAATGCTTTAACCACTAGGCTACCGCACCGCCCCTATAAGCGTATGACCTTTTTGTAGCCATTTGACGTCAATCCATTTTCAACACATATTGCAATTTATTTTTTAGATTGAGTGTATAATGTTATACATAAGCACACAAACTAATTTAATACATACCCATGTCGTTCAGGTATCAGGCAGAATTTTGTTCGCTCACACTTTCCGTAAAGATGCCAAATTGAAAATATAGTAGCATAGTACTTTTATCAGTACACAATAAAAAGCAGAGAAATTTACTGTTTTAACGCATACCAAAATTAGGGGTAACATTTAACAGTGTCTACTTTTCAAGCTGAGTTTATACCATGAGATAGGACATTTAATACTCTACATTTCTGTGTAATTTTATAGCTGTAGGTAGATCCAGTGCTGCGCAAACAAAATTCTTGCGCGAATGTTCACTTTTCCAGGAATTTTAATGACGCTCTAATGATACCCCAGGACCTTCATTAAGTTAATGACACACTAATGACAACACGTCATTAAAACGTTAGTACAACAGAATTTAATGATACATTAGTTAATGAACGTTTAATGGCACGTTAGTGCGTCATTAAAGTTTGATGCAACCGGGTCCTGATCATTACTGGATCCGTCTTTCTCATCAGTCTGGGATATACAGGGGCCTTCTTTGCTTAGAAATTCTGCCTAACATTTACATTCAAACAGACACATAATCACTAAAGGATAAGTTGTGGAATCATGATCTGTGTTGACGCATTTACACAAGCATGCATGTTAAAGTGTTTACACTCAAAGACATCACTTAGATTCTATCGAATCAATGTTCATTACAGACCGTCACATCAACCATGAAATGTTTTATTGACCTTGAAACCTGTTTTTCACAGCAACTCTATATAGGACAATGATCACATGTAGAAAGTATACTGAAACACTTGAAGCTATGTGTTGTATGACGTCAGATCTAAAGATTAACATGTTTTCCCAGAGAATATCATTGTCATTTGATAGAAATATGTTTCAGTTCGTTATAGCAGTGACAGTATGATAAAAACAGATGATTCGACTAGTGGTGTTCCAATTAATTGAAATAATCGAAGATTGGTCGCAGTGACCAAACGACCAAGCAATCGATCACATTTTCTCATAATCGAACATAAACGATTTTGGAACTACTGTTTTAGTCTTTGAAATACTTGACAATGGAACATATCTTAGAAGTTGTCAGGGCCTGGAAACATGTTTATTTCTTAGAAAACTCACTTCACTAACTGAAAAGTCATGACTGAATATTTCTCTAAGACTCCAGGAAGTTTATGTTCATGATATATTAGTCATCACTTTAAAGTAACAAGTTGCATCATGTTATACTTTTCTGCAGTAACAACCTGGATAGGAAAATCTGAAAAAAAATGACGCTAACCAATTTTTTTCGATGATTGTTCGTTGTTAATGAAGCTATCATCGATTGTGAGATTTCAACCTATTCCCAACACTAGATTCGACCTACCAGTTACCTTGTGGTTACCTTCTCCCAAAGGCAAGAAACTAATGATAACCAATGGCAAACAATACTGGAAGCAAAATATAATATTCAGTCAGGAATTGGGAAAGGCACGGACCATGGGCCATTTTGCACATTAGAGTAAAAAATGGCCCATTAAAATTTTGAAGTTTACTATTGATACAAGGGCAGTGGCCTTTCAAAATTCAGAAAATGGCTAATAATCCTGAAAATGGCCCATTGTCAAAGTTCTCTATCCCAATCACTGATTCAGTACAAGAAATTATGAGTTTGTACTTAAAAATATGCAAGCCATTTCATGGCCATGTCCTCAAAGGTTCCACAATGGTTGTAGTCAATGTACTTCCAATCCTGAAACATTATTTCCAGACCTTGAGCCCAATTACGAGAACTTCATAAGATCTAACAATTATCCTCAGTATTATAGAAGACAAAGTGCAGCAGTAACAGGCAATGAATAATGCAACAGTGTTTTACATTAATCTCAAAGACAACCTTAGCCTTGATAGTTGTTTCATCAATATTTCATTTATTAGGATTGCAATACATGCAAAAACGAAGTTCAATATCTGTGGAGTTAACGAATCCTAAGAAACTGAAAATGATCTAACCAAATTATACAATTCAAAATGTCAACACTAGAGCATAATCGAATATCTGCCAAAACAAATTCCATTGGGCATAAAAGGCCAAATAGTGATGAAAATAAGAATGGATGACTTAACATGTGTAATGAAGCCAGGTGTTTGCGAAAAGGGTAAGCAAATTCTTCGCTTCCAGCAGCAACTGTCACTCACACAATTTTCGTTTAAAGTGTAAGTGCTAGTGTGTAAGCAGGCGAGAAAACTATTATGAGCATCTGCAAATACCAGTCATGTACATAACACCCTCTGTTGCAGCAACCTGAACTGCCACAGAGTGACTCACAAATCTTCTGTACTGATCAGTTCATGACTTGGATCCTATGTTAAAGTATGCTCTTCAATAATAATTTCTTTTGAGAGTTTAACTCTTTGATGAACAAGTGGAATATTAACACACTGATGCAGCTGTTTCAAGATATCAAGAACGACCAGTTGCTGGTCCAACAGAATATTTCTCAGATAGATGAAGAGGTTTTATGTTACAGTCGGCAGTGGACCAGCTTCACCTGTAAATAATTGAGTATGGGCAAGGCAACTCCAGGAGTCCATATTGCACCACTGTGGCATGATTTCAACCACTCTATCAACCAAATCTTCAATGTTGCCATTTTCTTTTTCCTGTTGTTTTCAAATTTGATAAAGCTACAAATAATATGATGATCAATAAGGACTTATTATTTAAACATTGCATTCATAGAGGCTGATCTGTTAACATCAAAGAAGCCTTGCCTCCATAAAATAAAAATTCGGAGATGGGAATCCCATTTTAAGTCTGAATTTCATCTTTTAAAAACATACTTTGTCTTTGCTTGTTCAATAAATGGTCAGAAAAACAATTACAAATGGATAAGATTGGAGATGTCCCATAAAAACATCCAGTTCAACACAAATGGCATGTGTTATAGTGACACATGATCTTTCTTTCCTTACACAATTCCAGGTATTTCCTGAGTCATTCATTCACTCACTCTAAAACCAAGTCTTCTAAGTTTCCATGGTTACTCATACAAAACCTACCAGGTACTCTGCCCCCCCTCCCCCCCCTAATTTAGCATTATATCCAGTCAAATCAGATATTGTCACGCAGGTGGAAGAGCATCTCCCTTTCAGATTATGGGTTTTTTTTATCTTCACTCCATTTTTACAGTTGTGCAGTTCTTGTACATCAGATCACATTTAGTTGTTTTGTGTCATACTAATCTATAACTGCAATAAAAATAAACATTTCAAGAGAGCATACTTTAAAGTATACTGCTCAAAAGATGTTATGGACTACCCGATTCTTTCCTATTACTCAAGTTCATAAGTCGTTCCATGAAATGGGATCACAAATCTCATTCATGCAAAATACTGATAAAGATCCCAAAATACAGAATCAAGATAACTTCAACATGTCCTCATGGATTTGTCATGCGTTAGTTTGGTGCAATCACCAGTGTTACGAGTACATGTACACGAGGTTGGATAATGAACAGACTTATATACTCCTTCCATTAAAATGAGCAATACAGAGAAAAATGTAGTCACGTAACGAACCTGACTGTTTCTGTCATTGATCAGCTCGATAGACCAGCGACCTTCATGCTTTATCCACACAAAGATGACGCCTCTGCTGTCACAAGTTGCAAGCTTTTGATAAGGTTCGTTCCATCGGACAAGGATCACCTGAAATACAACACAAATACTTTGATTCAAAATTAAATATTTTATGAAATATATACATTGCCTAAATACATCATGTTACATTGAGAGTGAGTGAGTGAGTAAAGTAGGTTTTATGCAATATTCCAGCAACATCACGGACACCAGAAATCTCACACATTGTACAGATACTGGGAATGGATCCTGGGTTTTTGGTGTGGTGAGAAACACTTTAACTGTCAGGCTACCCTACTGTCCCTGTGTTCCACTGGTTAAAGTGTTCACTCGTCACGACATGGGCTAAACACCCAGGTTCAATTCCCCACAGTGAGTGAGAGAGTCAGTCAGTGGGAATTCATGATGCTTTGAGCAATTACTGGGTTATATCACTGCAAATCAGGCTGAAATGGAAAGATAAGAAAGATAGGAGTTTGGGTGAGTTTGTGAGTGGGGTGAGTTGGTGGGTGAGTCAGAGGGAATTCATGATGCTCTGAGTTACTGGGTTATATATATATATATATATCACTTGAAATCAGGCTGAAATGGAAAGATAAGAAAGATAGGAGTTTGGGTGAGTTTGTGAGTGGGTGGGTGAGTTGGTGGGTGAGTCAGAGGGAATTCATGATGCTCTGAGTTACTGGGTTATATATATATATATATCACTTGAAATCAGGCTGAAATGGAAAGATAAGAAAGATAGGAGTTTGGGTGAGTTTGTGAGTGGGTGGGTGGGTGAGTGAGTCAGAGGGAATTCATGATGCTCTGAGTTACTGGGTTATATATATCACTTGAAATCAGGCTGAAATGGAAAGATAAGAAAGATAGGAGTTTGGGTGAGTTTGTGAGTGGGTGGGTGGGTGAGTCAGAGTTCATGATGCTCTGAGTTACTGGAGTCAGAGGCTGAATGGAAAGATCATGATGCTCTGAGTTACTGGGTTATATATATCACTTGAAATCAGGCTGAAGTGGAAAGATTGGAAAGCTTGAAGTGATGCAGATTTCAGACATTTACCATTTGGGTGACCATGAGTGAGGGAATGGTGCAGGCAAACCAAGAAACTCAGTACAGACTTCTTTGTAAATACAACCCTGTATTTGTCAATACCAGCTCTGTCAGTCACATATTAGGCATGAACTAATAACCCCTCCTTTATTACCTTAAGAAATATGATATTCAGTAATCAACTAAACTAATGACTATAGCAGTGTGGCTGAAGGACCCGTGAAGGAGCTAGCCAGGCCAAGACGTACCATGCACTCCACATCACAATAGTTTCATTACACCGAATATAACTGGCGCACTGACTGTATGCCATGCTCACAGACCCATTGCTAATTTCAGACTTAATTAAATCATGGCAGCTCTCTCTACATGACAACACTGTTTCTTTGATTGTGAAAGAACCAATCAAACCTTGTTCCTTGGTATCTCCTCGTCTGCCTGTGTTGTCTGCCTGCCATCAAACAACAGCAGGTGAAGGGCAGTAATCAAAGCAGGTATTTTTATACACCCAGGAGACATAACTCAAGCTGTAACGGAGATGTGAAGGCACCAGACAAATTCGAACACAGACACTACGTGATCTGAGGTTGGACTTGTGTGTGATTTCTAGGCTTGAGTAATTTGATGGTCACCATACATTCATCTTACTTTAAGTGAACTTTCAGGTTGTTTGAAGGTGAACATGTATATATAATGACTCATATGTGATTTGAGGGTGGACTCAAATGTGATATAAAGGTGGACTTAAATGTGGTTGGAGGGTGGACTCAAATTGTGATTGGAAAACAGACATGTTATCTAGCAGTAAATTCATGCATTATTTGAGAGCATGAAAAAGGAATATGATTGGACATGTCATTTGATAGTGGACACATATGTGATTTGATTGTACGCTCAAATGTTTATGGACAGTTTTAAGACTGACTGACTGAGTTCGGTTTTACGCTGCTTTTAGCATTATTCCAGCAACATCACGGCGGGGGATACCAGAAATGGGCTTCACACATTGTACCCATGTGGGGATTCGAACCCGGGTCTTCGGCGTGACGAGCCAACGCTTTAACCACTAGGCTACCCCACCGCCCCGACAGTTTTAAGATCAAACTGGTACTTCTTCACAAGACAAATAGGATAAACACTATCATATTAGCAAAGTATGGAACATTTAGAATGTGTCTCACTTTGCCCTTTCTACCCAAAACTGTTAAAGGAGCATTAAACTACAACTGGGTCTTGAGAAATAAACACAGCGTTTCCGCTGACACAGCTTAATATTTCTCAGCTGTGAGAAAGTGCATGCTTGTCAAAAACCTCCCCATCATTAAAGAAACAATTTCTAATGTCCATAACCCCTCCAACCTCATCTAATAAACCCTTTCAGGAACGCAAATAATAGACCGATCTGAAGGTTGGCGTCATTAACTAATGTTTCTTGGAAGGAAGCAGATGCCACTGTGTCCAACAAAAGAATGTTTCATCTCGGATAATGGCCAGGTAGCCAAACAACATAGTTGCACCCAACATCAGCTGGACACGAGCCTCGAGAAACAGCTGTTCCATTATTAAAGTTACATATGTAGACAAGTATCAATGAAAACAGTGTTATCACTATCCAGGGATTTATCATGACAGACAAAATTTGGGGTCCACGGGACCCCTACTTACTAACTTCAACGGTCTGTACATTAAATACAAGGGTCCTGTAAAGTGATGAAATGATCAAGCAGATCATACTGTAAGGTTTAAGGAGTGCTTTAATCACAAGAACTATATACCTCTTGTCACAAATTTTGAACAGTGAATATTAATGCGCGTCCCAAGGAACACGGTATGTAATTTTTCTGTGTCCATTTATACATTTGTAATGAACATTTCTGCTTCGTGTGACTATCCCTCGCCAAGTCTACATTAGAACTAGACTAGAGTAAATTAAATTTTATTTCAGTTCTTTGTAGCTGAAGTTTATTTTATGTATTTTGACTGAAATATACATCAAGTGGATAAGACAGTAAAACAGTTTGCTATATCTATCAGTTTGGTTTAAACGCGTTCACTATAAGAGTAAGTTTAGAATATGTTTCTTCATATGGTAATAAAATGCAACAATTTTCAAACTTTTAATTTTCAAGTAAATCTCAGAAAAACTTGCAAGGTTTAATTCATGTTACTTTGGTTTCTGAATTTTTTTTTGTTCCCATTGCAGACCCAATGCCTAAAGTAAACAAAAAACCCAAAAACAAACGCTTTTTTTAGAAAAATTATAATATCAAAAGGCACCAGTTTTATCAAATAATATATACCAGTTTCAGACCGAAACAGAGAATATAATCTGCGAATAAATGAGCGACATTTGAAAAAGTCTTCCACATGAAAACAGAAAACTATTAAAAGCTTCACAAAGGTTTAAGGGTGCTGCAGGTTGTATCCCATAGCTGCCAGGATGCACTGGTTGTGGGTACAAATCCCAGATACGTGCCGAGGATGATCCTTCCCCTGTCAACATCATACTCATGGGCTTCACTGAAGTGGTAAACAAGTATGAACTGTGTCACTTCTGGCCGGCCTCACACATTAAGCTGACAAACCATGACGTAACTGAAATACTGTACAAAGCCTTATAAATCCCGACTGACTTCACATTGAATAATATCAAATCATGAACACAGCCTGAAGCTTTAAAAGAAAACTCTCTCACATATCAGCATAAACAGACTTATCTGTGTTTTTCTATCTTTCATTTTAACTGCAGTTATGTTTGGTGTCTGTCCCGACTACCATATCTTTTAATCTTTTAAGGGATGGATACCTTCACCATCGATACATTTTACGTTACAGTGATGTTGAGTGAGTGAGTTTAGCTTTACGCCGCACTCCACACTATTCCACTATATGGTGGCGGTCAATAAATAATCAAGTCTGGAACAGACAATCAAGTGATCAACAGCATGAGCATTGATGCTCAGCCCGATTTTATATTGTATTGTCCTAATTTCAAATCCAATTTTAGAGTGAGTGAGTTTAGTTTTACGCCACACTCAGCAATATTCCAGCTATATATATCTGTAAATAATCGAGCCCGGATCAGACAATCCAGTGATCAACAGCATGAACATCGATCTACGCAATTGGGAACCGATGACATGTGTCAACCAAGTCAGCGAGCCTGACCACCCGATCCCACTAGTCGCCTCTCACGACAAGCATGGTTTACTGAAGATCAATTCTAACCCAGATCTTGAACCATACAGGATAACATATCAGTATCATTCTTCATTTAGGCCTTATATTTCATTCTGGCAAGAAAAATGAAACAAACCAACAAAACAAATCTGAACTTAAATAAAAATATATTTTCTTTTGATAAAACATCTTCTTCTTGTTTTTGTCTGACAATGTATTACTATTATGACAAATGAAATAAAAACCAGAACATTTTATGTAGTGAATAATACCTGCATAAGTTTTCATACTAGCATAAAACAACTTATTGTCATTTGGTGTTATGCTGCAGCATGCTTCCATGATGACATAACTACAAACTTGTATTATATTCATCAGTGCTCTTCTGGAAGTGAGGGAGGTTTTATGCCACTTTTAGCAATATTCCAGCAATATCATGTTGGAGGGACACTGGTCTTAACACATTGTACTTATGTCAGGAATTGAACCCAAGCCTTGGGCATGACAAGCTAACGCTAACGCCCCTGCTATTCTTGGAATTTGAATTCGTTTTACTCTTTTTTTTTCATCCACCCACATTGAATTTTACATCCGGTATATTGATAACTCCTAAAAACTAAAAAAATAAAAAGTAATAGCTCTTAGCTTGCAAGGCTGCTGCTGCAGTGGTGTGCATTTCAGAGTGCCATTAAACATTAAAACACACCAACCAAATATCATTGACGCCATACATTCTTAACCATCCAACCCATTTGTTATCTTAAAGAATCATGTTTCTATGATTTTGATACTTGTGAAACTGGACTACCACAAAGCATGTTCACCAGCTTACAGTAAAAAC